CAGAATCTGTATCTTTCATGAAATACTGAATTAATGCAGGTGAAGTTATAGGGTGCATAAAATAAGTCAGATGCAATTTTACCCCCTCATACAAGTACTTTTCTTTGATGTCAACAGTATCAACAGACGGACAAGTGTTAGTGCAAGATGAACTTTACCATATGTGACTCAACAGAACTAAGCACAGCACTCTCAATTATTTCATTTCTTCAAGGAAATGGTGCACTAACAAAGTCATGGCTCCATCCTTTAATGGCACACTGATGGATATAATTCTACTGCCAACGAACCCACAGAGTTCCTGACATGAAACATCACAATCTCTCGGGAGGAGCTGAAGAATAAATCACAGGCTACATGAGCCAGAAGTCGGCTTCGATGGTCTTTAAATTAAGATGGACAAGCATAAGAATGACATAAAGTAATGGTAAAAAGAGAACTGTGAATTCAATTTCTAAAGTAAGTAAAATCCTAAGGAGCACAAATTAGGTCTGAAGTACAGGTTATTTTCAAAGCCTATGTTTGCATTAGATACCAGCAGTGCAACCATGCAGGTTTTCATAGTTCTTTGACTTTGGTTTCTGCAAGACCCTTGCGATTTTATTTATTTTTTTATTTTTATTTAGGAAAATTATACAGCTTTCTATTGTAAAATACTGCTCTATTAGCAAAGAAAATATTAACCAATAGTCAATTCTTGGAAGATACTAAATATTGATACCCAGGAAGAAAAGACACCAGAAGACAATTTGTATGCACAGAGTATTTTAATGAACATAGAAAAGAATTACTGATGAACTTAAATAACCAAAGAATTTCTTAAAAACATAATTATACACAAACGCACTACAAGGCTACTAAATTCCTGAGCCACAGATCACTGGGGGCTGGGACGGTACTGTCCTGTCTTTTCACTCTTCGCTGGGAAAGCACTGTCACCACTACAAGGACTAGGACGTGGAGGATGCAGGCCTCCAGCCTGTCTAGACTTGGCGACTCTTGTATCCATCTTAATGAGGGTCCAAGTCTTCTCCTGATTGGGAAAGCACTTGCAAATATGCCCAAGTCCACCTACAGTTAGCTAAACATTTTTGTAAAACTCATTTGAAGTTCCTCCTTACATTACATGTACTACATGCCTTTTTGCATAAAGAGCTATAGCATTGTGGGTTGAAGCTTAAAGTCTGATCATTTAGAGTTAAATCAAACATTAGAACGTGAAAAGCATCAATATTATTTGCATTTCATATGGTCCAGCCACTAAATAACTCTAAAAGTAAATGAAAATGGTCAGCTAGACCACCTGGTTAACTTAGTATGTATGTGTCGGGCAGCAGCTCCAGGACAAAATCTGCTTCAGTGCTCCTGAGTTCCAAAATCCATGTTTTCAGGCTGTTCCTTGGAATTCTGCTGAAGGCATGGGTGGAAGTTTATAATTCTATGCAAAGAATAAAGATCCTAGTTTATGCAGTACAACTGAGTTGGCTGCTCTTGCAGTCCTTCAAACTAAAACCAAAGCTACACTGGAATCTTCTGCACACCACAGACCTGTGTTGCCTACTGATGGAATCTCTAGAGAAAGATATTGTGGGTCTGAGATGGCAGTGATGAACAGAGAGTGGAACTGGAGAAAACATTGCTCCTCACATGACTCTTCCCCGTGTGACTACTTATCCAAATTAGGATGCTTTTCCTTAACACATTGCTACTTTTACAACTACGCATCTGTGGGAAGGAGACAGTACTTAATCTGAACTGCTCTACATGTAAAAACAATCACATCTGAAATTCAAAAGTATTTCTATCAGAAACATAACACTCTTTTCTTCACCAGAGAGAGTAGAAGGTCAGAATGCGTAACATTTGCAAATATGCCCAACTACTTTGACTACTTTCACTTCTCTCACTGAAAGGGTATATATTCAAAAAAGCATTTGACATTACCGAGGAAATTCTGCCTTTTTTTATTTGATGTCAAGGACCGTTTTGCCATTGACTTCATCTGGGCCAAGATTTCATCCCATGTGTTTTAAGAGAATCTCTGTGACTCTGCCAACAGTAGCACAGTAAGTGCCTCATGAAAAAAAAAAAATGCTAACAAGAAAACCCAAACAGGAAATAGCCTCCAAGGAATACTTCTCTGCAAACTCTTACAATTAAGATTAAAAAATAACAACAATAATGATTCTTACAATCTTTTCTCCCCATGCAAAACCAGGCAACAATTTCCTGCATTAAAACCTTATTTATTGGGTGTCACACTTAGGAGAGTTCTATGTCAGATCATATTGTGGAAGTGCTAATTATCTCATGAGGTTTACTCCTCCTGATGATATACAGCAACTCCCACATTGTGATTGTTTTTTTCTAAGAGTATTTTTAGCTCAGGATGTTCAGCTCATATAAACCAGCAATATGCCATTGGACTTTCTTAAAAGAAGTATTTCCCTTGTAATGTGGTAAAAGATGAAGTGTTTTATTATTTCAAAAAGGGGGGCCTTTATTCAAATGTAATGAAAAATCATGAAAGCACCTTTATTTTCCATACTTAAAAACAGCTAACTCCTGCAAACTGAATTAGCCATTCCCTGACTTCATTTACAAGTGAATTTTCACTACTGAAATATCAACGCTTTCAAACAAGAGAATACTCAGTCTCTTAAGCATCACATCATAAACAGTAGTGTCCTACCTCCACATTCTCTGACTTCATTCCTAGGCAGCACTGAAAAAGCAGCTACCGTAACACGGTGCATTCAAGGTCATGCTATTCTAATTGACAGAGATATCATTGATAAATTACCCAGAAACAACGATAATAGAGTCATTAACCTTGTTCCAGCACATGAAAGGTGTTTCATAATTGAGAAGGAAAGTTACAAAAACATACACAGGTTTTACTGCCCAGGTTTTCTTCTCCTACACACTACTGCAAAGTACTGTTAGGGAATAGTAATGTGTTAGGGAATAGTAATGTGTTAGGGAATAGTAATGTGTTAATGTAGATGCCTGCTGTCTGTGCTTTGCAACCAAGGGGTGCACAGATTAGACTGAATTATACTGGAGGAGGAGTCAGGTAGTAAAATACACAAACCAGTGACCTTTTAGAAAATAGGAAGTTGGATCCAGAAGGCCTCTCCCTTTGGCAAACTGAAGGATGCTGGAGCACAAGAAAGATCATTCCAGCAAGGAAGTCTCTCTCAGTCCAAGAATCTGTGCTGAACTGTCACTTCCAAACACACAGACATTTGGCCAGTGCTTTGACAACATGCATTAAAAGAGTAATGGACTGCATACTGAAGTGAAACTCACAGATAGACAGATAGATAGATAGATAGATAGATAGATAGATAGATAGATAGATAGATAGATAGATAGATACTAGGTGGAATCTAGAATTCATCCTCTATGTCTCATTCAAGAAACTTTCAGCTACCCACAGACTAAAAGCCTGACTAATGTCCCTAATTCGCTGTATGACAGATATCTTTATTAAGGGTATACACATTAATGAATAACTGCTGAGTGCTTTGACTTAAGAGAAATATTAGAACAACAGTGAAGAGGTGGGACAGAGACTGTTTCACACAGTAAATGGCTGTGTACCCCTATCTTCTTAATACTTCCACTGGTGCTTCTTTTTGAATCCTATCACAGTAAGACCACTCATGCTAAAATTATTACTAAAAAGAAACTATAGAGCAGGTTTCCTGGAGTTCAGGTGCCCAGAGATGACACTATACTGAATGACAGAATCCATTGTACTCCTTTCTAATCCTGAACTACTGTGTCTCCCTGCATTGCCTGACTACAAAGATACAATCTATAACATATTGCACAACTTACCCTACAGGACAAACAGAAAAATCCCAGATCATGTCTGTATTTAGAGGTTTGACCTTATGCATATAACTGAATATATCATACATTCTGAAAGCCTGAGTGAAAGTCAGATTCTTTCTACTGGTTCTGTTGTGGTTGGATAAACCGTTAATAGGCATATCCTTCAAGCATCCAGACTTGTCACAAATGACACTTGGAACAATATGCACGGAACGCCAAGGGGAACTCTCCTGTATGTCCTCTGAGGCTGCAGGCTACAGTTACCAAGCACAGGTGCCTCTGATACAAAGCATCTAACATCTTCCCACCACGGAAACCCCCAACTTTTTCGAGGCTGAGCTCAGCGCCGGGTTGAATCGTGTACTTTAGTGATTCCAGCCGCTGCACCATCCACGGTCAAGGAGCACCTACAAACTCGTTTCCCAGCGCAGTTAACAGCTCCTGTGCTTCAAACACTACTGGGGTAGCAGAAACCTCCTTACAAGCATTCAGCTGCAAACAGCCCAACTCAGCATAGCTTAAAGAAGCCAGTAACACACATGTAAACAGCATCTGTGGCGTCTCTTCTTAACTGACTTTCCTGGAAACACATTAACCTATTACAGTACTTCGAAAATAAACAGGAGAAGCAGAGGAGAGGCAAAAGTAGATCGCTCCCTCCCGAAAGTTTCTTTTCGCTTCTCACTCCCACTTTTGCTGCTCTCCACGTACTCTCGAATTAGAGATCGCTTTCACCGGGTATCAGATGAGTGACTTCTTCGCTCATGACATTTGAGAGATGCTGCAGCCGCCCTCGGTGCCCGCGGGGACCGGGCGCGCAGCGCACACCCCCACGCCCAGACGGCCGGCGCGAAGCGGAGGGGAAACCCCGCTCCGCCACCGGCCCCGGCCGCCGCACCGGCCCCGGCAGCGGCATCAGCCGGTGCGGGGAGTGCGGCCCCTCCCGCCGCATGGCGAAGCGCTGCCACTGACGCACATTTAATTCGCCGGGCTGCGGGCACGGCGCGGCGCCGCTCGCATCCTCCCCCCGCCGGCGGGCAGGGGGAAAGTCAAACTGCAGCAACAAAGTTGGTCCCCCCCGTTATCCCCAGACCTGCCCCGGCCCCTCCGGGGACTGTGGGGCAGCGGAGGTGGGGGGCAGCCCGTGCCCGCCTTACCTTGCTTGACGCACTTGAGCCGGATGGGGTCTTTGCAGTGCTTGATCACGGCCAGCACATCCCTGATGGTGAGCCCGGCTACAGGGGTCTCGTTCACCTCCAGCAGCAGCTCCTCCGGCACTAACTTGCTGCCGCCCTCATAGGCCACCTTGCCGGGCTTCACCTCCCCCAGGTAGGGGAACTGCCCGTTCTCGGCGCCCCCCTTCAGCTCGAAGCCCAGCTGCCCCTCCGGGTTCCTCACGATCACAATCTCGTGGACTCGGCTCGTCCAGTGGCTTTTCTTCTTCAAGCCCTTGGACATTGCCGTTGGGATGCTCTGCCCGACTACCTCCCGGTATATTCCGTGCTCCTTCCCTCCCTCCCTCTCGTCCCCCCCCTCCCCGGGGCAGCCGGGCTCCTCCGGGGCAGGCTCGGGCGGGCGGGGAGCGGCCGGCCAACGAGAGGGAGGGCGCGGCGGCCCCGCGGGGCTGCGGACCTGGGTCGGGGAGCGCCTCGCTGCCCTCTCCGGCCGGCTTTAGCTGATATCCATGGCAGCCGCGGCGGCCGGGACCCTGCAGAGCGTGGATGTACTAGTTGTAGAGAAACTGGCAGCGGGGAGGGAGGAGGGAGGGAGGGACGGCCGCGGCGGGGGAAGAAGGGGGGGAGAGGAGGAGGGGTGTCGGTGTCGGTGCCGGAGCGAGGCGGGCGCTGCCTCGCCGCTCCCGCCTCGCCTGACCCGGTAGTGAAGGCCGAGAGAGAGGCTGTCTGGCACGGCCGGCAACGGGCGGAGAGCGGCCCGGGCCGAGCGAGGCACCGGGCGGGCTTGAGCGGTGACCCCTGCACCGGCACACCTGGGAGCGGCCCCTGCGACAGGGGGCGCCCGCGGGCAAGATGGCGCGGGGGGGTCCTGGCCAGTCCAGGAGACGCAGCGCCGGGCGAGCCGGCAGCGGGCCTGGGGTGAGGGGCACCGGACGGGTGTCTGCTGGAGTTTGGGAAGAGCCCGAGATGGAGAGGAAGAGGGATGGATGCTGCGGTCGGTGTTCTGCTCGTGGTAGGGAAGGATGCAGTAGCGACAGATGGGCTATAAGTTGTGCCCCAAAAACAAGTGACAGCCGTTTAGACGTGTGTCTCGGTGTTAAAAACGCTTGCTGAGAGGTTTCCTTCCGTTCAGAGGTCTCACACTCAATTAAGTTGTAGATGGGCACAGTTGTTAGCGCACGTTACTAGCACAGGAGACAGGAGCTGGTACCCAGAAGGTGTTACTACACCTGAGGAGGGTGTAACAAGGAGAGCGGTGGCACTTTGGTCTATAAAACTTATCATCACACACCAGTTGTTCACCACCATCACTCAGTTTGCCGTCTGCTCCTTGCCCTTAAGCCCCAAATGACCTTGGTGGCCAAGGACCGACACTCCCAGCCTCCAGAGCCTTGCTCTCCCGAAGCACCGGGATGCATGTTGTTCTGCAGGTGATATGCATCCCGCTCCTCCTGTGGGCTCTCCCTTTAATTAGTGCTGTCATATGCCTGACACGTGTGCAAGCAGTGGAGTGTAGCAGTTGGCACGTCTTCCTGAGAAGCTTGCCTTGCCTAGAAAAAACAGTTTCCATGTGAAGGGGAGACTGACAAAACACAGGCAGAGCAACCTCCTGACTTTCGGAAGCGTAGTTTCTGTGCCTGCAAGGCTGCAAGGGTACGTGGAGGCAGGGGTCTGCAGGCAGGGTATTGAATGGGGGAGGCAGGAGGAATGTAGCGTGTGTGAAGGCACATGATTTAAAGCTGGTCGGATATTTTTAAAATTTCAATTAAAGTGACTCTGCAATGAAATTTTTCACAAATTGTATTGCTGTTTTCCCTCTGGGTTCCTATGGAAACAGGCCTTTATGTGCTCATGCTTGGCTGTATCTCCTTTACTTCTCCAATAACTTTTGAAGCTGTTGGGCAGTTTCACCCAAATCAAATATAATTAAGTTATTTCATGAAAATAGGCAGCTGGGTAGGGCTGAGAGATCCTGTAAATGTCCCAAAGGCTGTAACATGAACTTGCCTCTTATTAAACAGCGATTCACATGGCTGAGAGACCGTATAAATGTCTGGGTAATGAGAAAAGTTTCAATTACAGCTCATTATCAGCCTCAGTATAAGTCTGTGGGAAACCAGGGTTCTTCAGTTCATGTTCTCCCAGCATTGTGTAACATCCTCGTGCACTCAGAGTTGGAATAGGCACATGCAGAGGGGAAGAAAGCAATGAGAAATTACTAAAGTCTGTATCCTGCTAGTCATTTCACCTGCTTTGCTGTGTGGGCCTGGCCAGTGGTGCAAAGCTCTATGTGAGGGGCTTTGCAAAGGTGGGATTAAAGAATAAAAAATAAAAATTAAAAATTAGTTAAAAAAACCCACCCAAACAAGACCACACAAAACTGGAAATAAGAGATCCATAAACACAGACAGCTGAAGAGCAGAACTGGAAAGGTAATTTGACTTGACTGGAAGGTACTAAGGTTTTCACTGGTGTGACAAGCATTAGAGTAATAGTCTCATTTTCCAAAGACCATCAGGAGTGTCCAGCTGTCACTAGGAGCAGTGTTTCTGGTCTGGGCAGAAGTGGGCTAAGATGCTTGGAAAAAGAGCAAGAGAGTTAGTATGCTTGTTTCTGTGGCGCTGCTCTTGAACTTTGTCTTGCTTTTTAGCCCCAAAGTGGGGTAGGAAGCAAATGGCTAAAAAGAGGAATTACAAGTCATAGCATCTTGTTATCCTTCAGCTTCCCAAATGTTGCCACAATCACTCTTTGCTGAATCCTCTGCTCCACTAAAGCCCACTCTGCTTAAGTGGTCACCATTTCTCAGTTCAGAGTTTAGTCATTCTGCCAGTATTGTATCACAGATGTTGATTTGTCTGCTAATTAAATTTCTAAATCACCCCATGTTCACCACAATGTATGTGCAACAGTGGGACATCTGCCAAAAATGCGGTTTTTAGGAAATACATCAGGAAATATTTAAAATATTCCTAGGAGAAGGGAGGGAGGGAATCCCGTGGGTGTTATTTTCCTTTTTCTTAGGGGTTTCCAGTAATTCATTGATCAGAATTTTTTAAGTGCTCATTACCATTTTAAGTCAGATGACATTAACACGAGGTTATAAGTATATGCTTTGTTAAACAAGTGGGGGCACAACTCCTATCTTAAAGGGCTTACAAGTCATAACATTTCTGATTTAACGCATGTTGACAAATCCAGCTGAATGAACCTTTCATTTCTAACCAGTTTAGGTAGTTTTATTCATCTGAAATAATACCACATAGATCTGGTGGAAGTGGTGGTTCAGTTGCGTTAATTTTGACTTCTGAAGGTGGGCAGCAACATGAGCCAGACCCGGCACAGGCATCCACAGTTTGGCAGAGAATCACAGAATGGTTTGAGTTGGAAGAGACCTTAGAGATCATCTAGTTCCAACCCCCTGCCATGGGAGGTGGAAGGAGCTTTAGCAGTTTTCCCAAATCAGAGCTGCATATTAGTTGATCTCATACCAGAAAAGGATGGCAGTTTTCAGGTTCAGAGACAAAGGCTGGTGAGTGGAATGGCAGGTCATACCTGTTAAGGTCAGGATAGAGTAAAAGATACTGTCATTAGAGGATGACTGAGGGATACAGTATTCCTCTGCAACATCCTCTTTTAGGGGACATAAGTTTTAGAGTTTTGGGTTGACTCTGTATGGATAAAGTCTTGCAGTCGTATCATTACTGGTTTATGTTCTTGGGGGTTTAGGGATGTGATGCCACTAATGGAAATGCATAGTTTGCTTTGGTCTTCTATTTGAAAATATACTCGGAGGAAATTAAACCTCGCATAAGGTCGTTTTGCAGCAGCCACACTCTTTCATATAACTTCGTTTCATTTTTACAGTGATAGAGGGGCAGCTGTAAAACAAGATTATCCTTGGCACTGACAGAGCAAGTGTCCCAGCATGTGGCTGAGGGGGCAGAGTTTGCAGATTTTCTGCCTGACCCCTGAAGACCCTGAAAAGGACTTTGTTGCTTGCCAAGATCTTCCTGTTAGACCCTTCCTCAGGGCTTCATCTCAGGAGGGCATGAACTGGTCCTGAGCGTGAATGTGAGGGTATCTAACACAAGGGATCTCCTATGGGTAAAAGTAGCAACAGCACAAGATGAAACACGTTCACCAAATACAACACACAACTGCCTTTTATTATTCCTTTAAATCTGAGCCTGTAAACCCAGGAACCAGTAAGTCACTGTACTTTTGGGAGTAAAGTTGAGCCCATGAGTAAGCTGTGTGAGACTTCAGTAGATAAATGTGTTTTGTAGCTGGAAAGTAATCTTTCCTACTGCAGCACTACAAATTCAGTAAAAAGGTAACTGAATTCTGTCTGTATTTTCAGTATACCACATTTCTGGGTAAATTAATTCCTCAAATAGGAAATGATGTATTGCATGTGCCAAAGAGGTAAAAAGACATCCATTACCTGCTATTACTTATGCAGGAATGGAGTTCTCTACCTTGTAATTGTGTTTGTAACATTGGACTTGAACTCAGAGGACATTAAATCTCTTTCTTCTGAACATGCCTCCTGTGTGACTGGATGCTAATCACATGACACTGTCATCTCTTATTTTTTTTCCATTTTAGTATGAGCATGATTCCTCTTTTTTGTTACAGTTTTCTATTTAGCATGTCAGCTACCCAACAGCCGTATTCTTCTCAACAGTACCAGCCTAGCTCCACCACAGGACATATGTTCATCTAGGACTTGGGCAGGATTCAGGTGTTTAAATCCAGATTCCCAAACATTTTGCCTATGTCCTTAGTTGCCCTTGTGATAGCTAGTCTTCCCACCAGTGGAGCTCCAGAGTGTCTGAGCTAATTTCACTGCCTTCTGCTTGGAGTTTTAAATGTTCTCTTGGGATTCTGAAAAGATTATAAGTCCTTTTTTTTTTTTTAATAAAAATTGCAAAATCCTAGCACTTACAGCCGCAAATTTGACCAAGAAGTCACTAAAAGTTTGTTACAATATTTACTACTGCCACTTAATGTCTTCTATGAGCCTACTTTTACAAGTATGAGCCTTGTATTACTAGTATCATATTTTCCAAATTTCAGATTTTATGAATCTTTGCTTCAGAAAAGCTAAAATCTCACACTATTTTTCTAAAACCTTTTTCCCAGGTTCTCCAAATTCTGAAAGCTTTGGCAAAAAATAGATACTTTATTGTTCTACAAAGGTAAGGAAGAATTTTTGTGTTAAGTGCTGGTTTGGGTTTGGTTTTTTTTCTTCTTGTTTTTGACCTTTTTTTTTTAAGTCTTAGACCAAAACCTTCCATAGTGTTGGACACCAATGCTTCCACAGAATCCATTATTTAATTGTAGACTTCAAAACTTTGTAAAGTATGTACCTGGTTAGAATGGAAAGTAATGGGAAATACTCAGCTTTCTCAACCCTTTAGAGGATTTCTGCTGTGGTAATAGCTCTTGCAGAAAGCAAATATGATCACTTCTGGATGTGAAGAAAATAATCTCCATGCCTGAACTGAAAAATACATGCAACCTTTGGGAATGAAGGAAAAATAAA